CCCGGAAGAATGAAATATCAAACACAAGTACGTATCCTTCCCGGAAGAATGGAATATCAAACACAAGTACGTATCCTTCCCGGAAGAATGAAATATCAAACACAAGTACGTATCCTTCCCGGAAGAATGAAATATAAAACACAAGTAGGTACCCTACCTGAAAAATGAAATATCAAACACAAGTACGTATCCTTCCCGGAAGAATGAAATAACAAACACAAGTACGTATCCTTCCTGGAAGCATGAAATATAAAACACAAGTAGCTGACCTACCTGAAAAATGAAATATCAACTACCCGGAAGAATAGAATATCAAACACAAGCACGTACCCTACCTGGAAAAATGGAATAATTTTTCCAGGTAAGGTACGTACCCTACCTGGAAAAATGCAATATCAAACACAAGTAGGTACCCAACCTGGAAGAATGAAATATCAAACCCAAGTACGTGCCCTACCCGGAAGAGTGAAATATCAAACAAAAGTACCTATCCTTCCCGGAAGAATGGAATATCAAACACGAGAACGTACCCTACCTGGAAAAATGAAATATCAAACAAAAGTAGGTACACTACCTGGAAAAATGAAATATCAAACAAAAGTACGTGCCCTACCTGGAGAAAAATGAAATATCAAACACAAGAACGTACTCTACCCGGAAGAAAGGAATATCAAACACAAGTACGTACCCTACCTGGAAGAAGGAAATATGAAACACAAGTACGTGCCCTACCCAGAAGAATGGAATATCAAACACGAGAACGTACCCTACCTGGAAAAATGGAATATCAAACACAAGTAGGTACCCTGCCTGGAAAAATGAAATATCAAACACAAGTGTACGTGATCCTCACGGAAGAATGGAATATCAAACACAAGAACGTACTCTACCCGGAAGAAAGGAATATCAACAACAAGTACGTACCCTACCTGGAAGAATGACATATCAAACACAAGTACGTGCCCTACCCGGAGGAATGGAATATCAAACACAAGTACGTACCCTACCTTGAAAAATGAAATATAAAACACAAGAACGTACCCTACCCGGAAGAATGAGATATAAAAAAACGTGATCTACCCGGAAGAATGGATTATCAAACACAAGAACGTACCCTACCCGGAAGAATGGAATATCAAACAAAAGTACGTATGCTTCCCGGAAGAATGGAATATCAAACAAAAGTACGTACGCTACCTGGAGAAAAATGAAATATCAAACACAAGAACGTGCCCTACCCGGAAGAATAGAATATCAAACACAAGCACGTACCCTACCTGGAAAATTAAATATCAAACACAAGAACGTGCCCTACCCGGAAGAATGAAATATCAAACACAAGTACGTACCCTACCTGGAAGAATGAAATATCAAACACAAGTACGTGCCCTACCCGGAAGAATGAAATATCAAACAAAAGTACGTATCCTTCCCGGAAGAATGGAATATCAAACACAAGTACGTATCAAACACAAGTACGTATCCTTCCCGGAAGAATGGAATATCAAACACAAGAACGTACCCTACCCGAAAGAATGGAATATCAAACACAAGCACGTACCCTACCTGGAAAAATGAAATATCAAACACAAGTACGTACCCTACCTGGAAAAATGAAATATAAAACACAAGTACGTGATCTACCCGGAAGAATGGATTATCAAACACAAGAACGTACCCTACCCGGAAGAATGGAATATCAAACACAAGCACGTACCCTACCTGGAAAATGAAATATCAAACACAAGTACGTACCCTACCTGGAAAATGAAATATCAAACACAAGTACGTATCCTTCCCGGAAGAATGGAATATCAAACACAAGTACGTACCCTACCCGGAAGAATGAAATATAAAAAAACGTGATCTACCCGGAAGAATGGAATATCAAACACAAGAACGTACCCTACCTGGAAAAATGGAATATCAAACACAAGTACGTACCCTACCTGGAAAAATGAATTATAAAACACAAGTACGCACCCAACCCGGAAGAATGGTATATCAAACAAAAGTACGTACCCTACCTGGAAAAATGAAATATCAAACAAAAGTACGTACCCTACCTGGAAAAATGGAATTTCAAACACAAGAACATAACCTACCCGGAAGAAAGAAATATAGAACACAAGTACGTACCCTACCCGAAATAAATAAATATGAAACATATGTACGTATCCTTCCCGGAATAATGAAATATCAAACACAAGTACATATCCTTCCCGGAAGAATGGAATATCAAACACAAGTACGTACCCTACCTGGAAAAATGAAATATAAAACACAAGTACGTACCTACCCGGAAGAATGAAATAAAAAGCACAAGTACGCGTCGTACCCGGTAGAAAGAAATATAAAACACAAGTACGAACCCTACCCGGAAGAAATATATATAAAACACAAGTACGTATCCCACCCGGAAGAATGGAATATAAAATACACGTACGTAAACTACTCGGAAATATAAAATATTAAACACACGTACGTAACTTACCAGGACGTAGGAAATATAAAAACACATACGTAACCAACTCGGAAATATAAAATATAAAACACACGTACGTAACTTACCCGGACGTATGCAATTTAAAACACACGTATGTAATTTACACGGACGTATGCAATTTAAAACACACGTACGCAACTTACCCGGTCGTATGCAATTTAAAACACACGTACGTTACTTACCCGGGCGTGTGAAATATAAAACGTATATACGTTACTTACCTGGAAGTATGAGATGACTGTTTTGTGATCTTTAGGGTTGTACACCTGATTAGTGCTCTGGACAGATTCACCGTACCTAAATATAGCAAATTATAAAAATTGTTCGAGGAGGCCTGAACACAAGAAGTGTCATATTATTTTTATTTGACACTTATAAATATCTAATTCTGTATCAAATTGATATAAAGTAGGACATTCTACATAAGTTAATACAGGACATTGAAGCACGTCGTGTTATAAAGTACCGGTAACCGCAAGTGTTTGTCTATGTTATCACGTTGTGTTATTATCCCTCGGCAATATCGGTTATCATCTGCTATCGACACACTTTGCAGCTATCTTACACGCTTATTTTCGCTAATGTTTACTAAAATCAATGTGAAAATATGTAAAAATACACTAACGTGCTATATTATGTAGATAGTTACCATAATAGGAGCCTAGGCTTAATGGAAATTGTTGGACCCAAACGGAAGGGAAATTTGCTTTTAAATCTGATAATCTGACAGAACAGTTGGCATGAATCTCATACAGGCTTGGACTAGCTTTATCGTTAATCATCAACCATTACAGATGTTTACTATTGAGTGGACGGCCATAAAGGCGTAGACTGGCAATGGAACACTATATGAATAGGTGCAGAATATAAAGTACAGTGGACATGATTCTACTAGCAAATGCGTGTACTAGCAAATGTCACAAATCAACATTGGTTACAGAGAATGCAGTACAATGGGTTTCTTACATACATCGTGGACTGACAATACCACCAATCATTACGGAGAATACTGTAAAGGTGGCGTGCCTCTCGTACATGATTTTGATATAAATGTTAAAAATCATCCATCATTACAGAGACTGCAGTACAAAGGGCGTCTCTCTCAATATCATCAATCTATACAGAGAATACATTAAAAAGGACGTGTCTTTCGTACAGACGTGGAGAGTTATGTCAAAAAGCATTGATCATTATAACGAAGACAATACAGTGGGCGTGTCCCACATACAGGCGTCGACTAGCAAAGTCAAAAATCCACAATAAGTCAGAAAATGCTGTACTTGCTATCACATTTGTATATGCGTAATTGATTTTGGGCTTAGGTTTTTTTATATAATTAATTCATATTGTTTTAAATAGACTGCACATCCCTTTGTCCCGAATATATGAATTACAAACCTTTCTTTTAGAGACCTTCCTAAATCGGCCATAAGAAGTTGTCCTCTGGCCGTAATAGGTTTCCTCGGACCTCTACCTTCTGCTTTCCTGGACCTCCTGATGTTCTGCATTGTCCTGAGGAATAAGATCACCGGTAACTTAGGAGTTGAATGTATGATATAAGATCAGCATCATAAGTACATAGACTGTATACCCAATTAGCCTTGGTCGCATTCACGATCGAACTCAGCATGAGACATGTCAACATATATGTGCATAACGAGTTTTGTTGAAATCGACCAATTAGATCAGTTTTTGCACCGAAACAGACGGACGGGTCAAATTAATATGATCAAAAATATATATTTACGCTGAAATAGTCCCTGTTGGCCCCTTTTTAACAGTGAAAAGGTCGGAAACAAATGGATTGTCACTCTCTCTCATACAGGAGGTAACATCTTGGCTCAGCATATCTCGGTTCTTCTCAATAAACAATGACCCGTCATACCAGACCTGTAAATAAGAAAGTTTGCAACGATAAAATATCTGTTTTCCGATACCTGGCGATTGTGCAAATTTCGCCTTACTTCCGGTATGACATTGATTTGATTTTCCGATATTGTACAGCGATCTTTATTTTTAATGTCGGATCTAATATGAAATACAACAAAAATGTTCGGTGCCTAGTTGGATCAGCACAAATTTACCATATACATGTAACAAGTGTTCCGTGTCACAGGAAACGTTCTACTTATAACTGTTAGCCTAAGACATAGACAAGATCGTACTTATAAGAAACATCCTGTCTCATAGAAAACATAATGATTATACTGTTTAACTATTATGGAATATGTATTACCTGGGCGGCGAAGTGTCTGACACCGAATTCCACACGACCATGTGGAGATTCTGTGAAACATGGGTGCGTATCGTACTTGTCATTGAGTTTTTTTACAAATCTTTCATTGGAACCTTGTCCAAGCTTCGACTCTTCGTCGAGGAGTGGCAGCAGGCCAAATGTTTTCTGGAAAGAATATTTGATAATATTGTATCCACAAAATGCGTCTAAGTGCCCTACGTGCTTAACTTAAATCGTGTCCATTCATTGTTCTTGAAACATTACTCTGGTCTTTTGCGTATAGACTATCAAAAATCAATCCTATACCCAATGCACTACAACATAAACGTGCTGTTAAGACGACAAAACATCAATGTGGGCTGTTAAGGTTAGTCTATACTGTGTGAACAAATGGTTTAAATGTATTTAATGGTGTACCACTGTCTTTTCTCATCGTAGGTTTATGCGTGTCACTAAACATGTATTGTATGTATCAGTATTGTGTGTGCATGTACCTGTACTTTTTTTTATCTGTTCCCGTATTTTATGCTTTGTATGTCATTGTTCCTGTACTGTGCGTCAGTGTACCTACATTGTATGTCATAACACCTGTATTGTATGTCATTCTACCTGTATTGTGTGCCATTCTACTTGTATTAAATGCCATTACACCTGTATTGTATGCCATTCTACTTGTATTAAATGCCATTACACCTGTATTGTATGCCATTGTACTTGTACTTGTATTATGTGTCATTATACCTGTATTGTATCTCATTATACCTGTATTATTTAAGCATTAACCTATTTTTGTATGGTATTCATGATCTATTTAAATGACACAGCTTTTCAAGCAAACATAATGCGCGCTAGCGCATTATAAGTTGTTTGCTTGCAAAGCTGTGTCATTCAAATATATCATAAATATCATACACAAACAGTTCAATACTTATATTTACATTTTCTCTTCCTCTTATGTTCTTTTTCAACTTATAATTTATATTTAAAATTAAAAATGCCCGCCTTATCGACAGCTCACACCATTTCGTTCAATAATTTGAACAGCGTATTGTCGCTCGCTGATTCGTAAACAAAGTAGTACTTTGAAATTTTAACAAACACTTCAATTTTATTCCACAATTCAGTATCAAAACAATTGCGTATGATATGTCTCTAGGGTGATTTAAGTTTATCAATAAAAATCTGAGCTGAAAGTTAGATTTTAAATTGTTACGATTTTTCCCCGGAACAAATTTCGCAGCATGGATAAATACAGTGAACACCGTGAATCCGACCTTGACCTCCACGAGGGAGTTATTTTTGGAAGTTAATTCTTAAGTTTCTCTTTGCTCTCTAGACGTGAATTTATTTGTTGATTCTATGGGATTCTGACTACAGTCGGTAGATTCTATAACAGTCTCGTTATTTGACATGTCGTGATCAGTAACTGGGGAAACCGTGTCTGCGAGACGCGTAAAACTGATATCGTTTGAAGTGAGTGATCTTGCGACGGAGCACAGGGGTTCGTTATAAATGTCTGAAATGTTTATGTGTGCTGTGACTCATATCAGTAGGTCTGTAACATATGTGTCAGTAGGTCTATTGAATATGTGTATTTCAGACATTTGTAACGAACCCCTGTTGATCAGTGCAATGTAACAGACGATATTTCTGATAAATTGCTCGAGTGTTAAAATTGTTTCCATTGCCGGCATTGGTGAATTCAACCGATGTGCATTTTGTACGATATTGTAGACCTTGGTCTTGTTTTTGTTGTAATAAAAATATTTTTTATTTACTCTTTTCTTTTGCACATAAATTTACAATGACATTGTCAAGTCTCACAATGCCCAGCGATATTTCAGCAGCCGTCATGTTTATTTACATTGAATATTGTAGTTCCGGTCAGTGTTGTATTAATACGCTAAGAATTGTGTCTCGTGCTGCATGGTAATTAAAGTCCCATCAACGACACAGCTTTCAAAGATGCTATATAGTGACGACAATGCCATGCAAATGTAAATATATGTCATTATACTAGTATTGTATGTCATTATACCTTTATTATATGCCATTCTACTTGTATTAAATGCCATTGCACCTGTAGTGAATGCCATTGTACTTGTACTTATATTATATGTCATTATACATGTATTGTATGTCATTATAACTGTATTATATGTCATTATACCTGTATTGTAAGTCATCATACCTGCAATGCGTGTCAGTATACCTGTATTGAATGCCCTTATACCTGTATTGAATGCCATTATACCTGTATTGAATGTCATTTTACCTGTACTGAATGCCATTGCACCTGTATTGTATGCCATTGTACTTTACTTGTATTGTATATCATTGCACCTGTATTGTATGTCATTGTACTTGTATTGTATGTCATTGCACCTGTATCGTATGTTATTATACTTGTATTGTATGTCATTGCACCTGTATCGTATGTCATTATACTTGTATTGTATGTCATTGCACCTGTATCGTATGTCATTATACTTGTAGTGTATGTCATTGTACCTGTATTGTATGTCATTATACCTGTATTGTATGCCATTGTACTTGTACTTGTATTATATGTCATTATACCTGTATTGTATGTCATTCCACTTGTATTAAATGCCATTACACCTGTATTGTATGCAATTGTACTTGTACTTGTATTATGTGTCATTATACCTGTATTGTATCTCATTATACCTGTATTATTTAAGCATTAACCTATTTTTGTATGGTATTCATGATCTATTTAAATGACACAGCTTTTCAAGCAAACATAATGCGCGCTAGCGCATTATAAGTTGTTTGCTTGCAAAGCTGTGTCATTCAAATATATCATAAATATCATACACAAACAGTTCAATACTTATATTTACATTTTCTCTTCCTCTTATGTTCTTTTTCAACTTATAATTTATATTTAAAATTAAAAATGCCCGCCTTATCGACAGCTCACACCATTTCGTTCAATAATTTGAACAGCGTATTGTCGCTCGCTGATTCGTAAACAAAGTAGTACTTTGAAATTTTAACAAACACTTCAATTTTATTCCACAATTCAGTATCAAAACAATTGCGTATGATATGTCTCTAGGGTGATTTAAGTTTATCAATAAAAATCTGAGCTGAAAGTTAGATTTTAAATTGTTACGATTTTTCCCCGGAACAAATTTCGCAGCATGGATAAATACAGTGAACACCGTGAATCCGACCTTGACCTCCACGAGGGAGTTATTTTTGGAAGTTAATTCTTAAGTTTCTCTTTGCTCTCTAGACGTGAATTTATTTGTTGATTCTATGGGATTCTGACTACAGTCGGTAGATTCTATAACAGTCTCGTTATTTGACATGTCGTGATCAGTAACTGGGGAAACCGTGTCTGCGAGACGCGTAAAACTGATATCGTTTGAAGTGAGTGATCTTGCGACGGAGCACAGGGGTTCGTTATAAATGTCTGAAATGTTTATGTGTGCTGTGACTCATATCAGTAGGTCTGTAACATATGTGTCAGTAGGTCTATTGAATATGTGTATTTCAGACATTTGTAACGAACCCCTGTTGATCAGTGCAATGTAACAGACGATATTTCTGATAAATTGCTCGAGTGTTAAAATTGTTTCCATTGCCGGCATTGGTGAATTCAACCGATGTGCATTTTGTACGATATTGTAGACCTTGGTCTTGTTTTTGTTGTAATAAAAATATTTTTTATTTACTCTTTTCTTTTGCACATAAATTTACAATGACATTGTCAAGTCTCACAATGCCCAGCGATATTTCAGCAGCCGTCATGTTTATTTACATTGAATATTGTAGTTCCGGTCAGTGTTGTATTAATACGCTAAGAATTGTGTCTCGTGCTGCATGGTAATTAAAGTCCCATCAACGACACAGCTTTCAAAGATGCTATATAGTGACGACAATGCCATGCAAATGTAAATATATGTCATTATACTAGTATTGTATGTCATTATACCTTTATTATATGCCATTCTACTTGTATTAAATGCCATTGCACCTGTAGTGAATGCCATTGTACTTGTACTTATATTATATGTCATTATACATGTATTGTATGTCATTATAACTGTATTATATGTCATTATACCTGTATTGTAAGTCATCATACCTGCAATGCGTGTCAGTATACCTGTATTGAATGCCCTTATACCTGTATTGAATGCCATTATACCTGTATTGAATGTCATTTTACCTGTACTGAATGCCATTGCACCTGTATTGTATGCCATTGTACTTTACTTGTATTGTATATCATTGCACCTGTATTGTATGTCATTGTACTTGTATTGTATGTCATTGCACCTGTATCGTATGTTATTATACTTGTATTGTATGTCATTGCACCTGTATCGTATGTCATTATACTTGTATTGTATGTCATTGCACCTGTATCGTATGTCATTATACTTGTAGTGTATGTCATTGTACCTGTATTGTATGTCATTATACCTGTATTGAATGCCATTGCACATGTATTGTATGCCAGTGTACTTGTTCTTGTATTATATGTCATTATACCTGTATTGAATGCCATTATATTTGTATTGGATGCCATTGTACCTGTATAGTATGTCATTATACTTGTAATGTATGTCATTATACCCGTATTGAATCTCATTATACTTGTATTGAATGCCACTGCACCTGTATTGTTTGTAATTGCACTTGTATTGAATGTCATTATACCTGCATTGTATGTCAGCGTACATGATTGTATATCATTCAGCCTGTATGGTATGTCGTTTTAGCTGCATTGTATGTCATTGTATCTGCATTGTGTGTCATTGTACCTGCATGGTATGCCATTATACCTGCATTGTATGTCGTTATACCTGCATTGTGTGTCATTACACCTGCATGGTATGTCGCTGTACCTGCACTGTGTGCCATCTGCATTGTATGTAAATTTACCTTTACTTTGTGTCAATGTACTTGCATCGTCATTATACCTGTATTGTGTATCATTAAGCCTATATTGTATGTCAATGTACCTGTATTGTTTACCATTGTACCTGTATTATATGTCACAGGTACTTGCATTTTGATGTCACTGTTCCCGAATTATGTGACATTATATCTGCCTTGAATGCATTGAGTGTCATTACACCTACATAGTATGTCATTGTAACTGCATTGCGTGTCATCTGCATTGTATGTACTCGTACATGTACTCTGTGCCATTGTACTTGCATTGCATGTCATTGTACATATATTGTATGTCACTGTACCTGTAATGTATGTCATTGTACCAGTAATGTATATATTGTTGTGTCTGTATTTTATGTCATTGTACCAGCATTGTGTGTCTCTGTACCTGTCTTGTTTGTCAATTCAGCTGTAGTGTGTTATTAGGCTATGTATGTCAATGTACCTGCTTTGCGTTTCATTGAGTCATTTCATTTGTATTGTGTATAATTGTATCGGTATTGTATGTAATTTACCTACTTTTTGTCTTATTGTATCTTAATTGTGTAATAGTACCTGCATTGTATGCCATTGTAGCGGTATCGAGTGTCATTGTAAATGTATTGTATGTCAATCTGCCTGCATTCTATGTCATTGTACATGTAATGTATGTCAGTGTACCTGCATTGTTTGTTTTTGTACCCACATTATATGTCATTGTACCTGCATTGTGTGTCATTGTACAATTACTGTGGGTGTCATTGTACCTGCCTTGTGTGCCATTAGACTGTACTCTGTGTTATTATATCTGCATTGTATGTCATCATACCTACACTGTACCTGTATTATATATCAGTTAACCAGCAGTGTATGTCATTGCACATGAACTGTGTCATTTAGAATGTTTGTCATTATACCGTTATTATGTGTCATTTTATTTGTATTATTTAGTATGTGTTTTTCTTACCTTAAACTACTAGTATCCGTGTGACCTTAATCAACAGCCAATAAAGGTGGTATACGGTTGAATTGGCTAAGAGTATGATTTAAGGAACATTGAGTATAACTGTTCTAAGCGTCATTATAACTTCACCATGTCATTATTTCTATAGTGTCACTGTAGCTGTACATTTTGTCATTGACCATTTTCCACTGTGTCTATATTGTGTGTCGGTGAATGTGCATTGTGTGTCATTGGAGTCGAATGTTTCTTGTTGTAATTTACAATTTGTCACTGTAACTGTATCATTGTTCATGTATTGTGTGCCATTGCACTAGGATTTTGTTGTTTGAATATTATGTTTGTCTCTTGACTAAGATCTATCTGTGTACCTTCATGAACAAGTCCAACAGCGCATCATTGTTCTTAAACTTGATACCGGTCACGTGGATCCCTTCCTCTTTATATATAGACATCTCATAGTCCATGACGTTTCTGTTGGTGAAACTCTGGAGCCTTTCATTTATCAGATTGATACACATCTGTTCCATGCTGTTGATTTCCAATTTCTCAAATCCAGCTATGTCAAGTATACCAATACTTGTACTTCCAGTGGGTGCTTTGAACCTGTAAAGGTACACTATGTATGCTAAGATGTATCTTGCTGCAAGATTCATACTCATTCAAAACATGCCCATATAGACTACAAAACATGTTGTCAGTGCATATTAAATCTAGTGAATGAAATGGTGACATAAGTAAAAGATACACAAGAACAATACATGAACAACCAGTTCCTTCTGCAGTTGTAGTGAATACTCGTTCATTAATAAGATTATTCGATCATGAAGCGTTTTATGTAGCGTACATTATAGATATCATCCCACGATCACACAGTCTAGTATGGTAGGTAGCGTGTTTTAAATGATAATCTGATCACATGCTGTTTTAGTTAACGTAATTTATATGGGATCATTTGATCACATAGCGTGCTTATCGGCATAACTCATAAATATGATCACACATCGGTTAACAACTTACTATATAGATACGATCACTCGCCACACAGTGTGTTTGGAATGCCTCTAGTGAATTTTAGCATGAAAGTTCATTAACGCAGCGTTAAACACTGGTAAAGCTATACAAATACGCATGGAAATTTATAGCGTAATATAACGTTATCAGGATTTTGTAACGCTGATTCGACCTTTTTCACCTGTATCAAGAAAAGGCAATTACTGGGTCACTTGATACTTAAGTGACGTTGTGACGTCATGAAGGACACCCGTGAAAATAAAGTAAAATGGCGAACAGTGGATTCTCAGAGAGTAAACACGTAAAAAATGCATATTAAAGGACCAAAATATTGTAAAACGCCAAAATAACCCCGTTTTATTTGTAATGTTTTTACATTTATGGGCCCAACCTGTTGTTGATCAGAACTATTTTGTGAAAAAAATACACTCGAGCCTGCGTGGAAACCAGTCCAGACCGAAACAACGGAATGATCTGTACCTTGGGATCAGTATCGTGTCACTGTCATATTTTAATTTAGGTGTTCATAAAATCACAAATACCTTGAATGTCAACATTGTTGCTGCACTACCTGTATTTATTTAATTATTACCCCTGTCAGACGGGAGTTGGACTGTTTCATCTGTGGTAAGGTGATTATATACCGGCTGATAGATAAAAGAAGAGTCTATTTACATTTGTATCTGTATTTCAACCATTAATTTGAAGTGCAATGTTCAGTAAGAGTCAATTATCTTATTATAAATTGTCTTTTAGGGTAATTTACTAATTGATAATCAAGTCATTTCGTTGTTATACCAAATGAAGATACGATCCTGATCACTCGGGAGTGAAATGATCGCTATTAGAATGTCCTGCCGGTCTCTCTTCCTCCTCACACATGAAGTTCGCTCTGATGTGTTCCTGTATAATCTCCTGTCGCAAATTAGTGCAGGTTCATGTATTCCTTTATGATGTTCGAGATTAAAACCACCATACATTGTTTTATAAGAGGATGTTCGTTTTAAGGCAGACATTACACCGCTACGAATTCGTAAGGAGTATTGGCAGTTTAAGCAAATCGCATCCATTCCGCTTAAGAGTAAAAACAGAATTTTACAATTAGGGGTTTTCCAATTACGCAGCTCTGTTAATAATAACTATCTTGTGCCTATCATTTCATGTGAATGCTTAAATTCACTAGAAGTAATCTTTTAGTAGCGTTCGATTAGAAATATCTATATAAGATAACATAATATCATGACTGCTGCATTCCTGAGACAAATGTAGATTCATTTCTAATGTGATGTAAAGTACATTTGCTTCTATTTTTTGTCTTATATTTCACCTTATCAATGCCTTTATATACTGATCTGAAAATGAACAAAGCTATAACTAAGGGAGGGAATGGGTTAGCATGTTACCCGTCCTGGGACTACAGTTTTAAGGTGCCATTTGGCAAAATGTCTCTATGATTTACTGATATGGCACACTGTGGCTTAGTGAGTTGTTTTCAGCGGTTTATAGTCGAGACACCGGTTGATTACACTATTTCTGTGACAACGATTTATTTTTTTATCTAAAGCTCGCAAAAATAAGTTTTCAATTCCTGTTTGTGTTCAAAACAAACTTAGTCTTCATAAAGCTATAAATAATCTACATATAGCCGTCTGTAAATTTCATGAGAAGAGTACTTCAGAGTTGATCCAGTAGGACGTAATTTACTCTCTCGAAAACAGTTTATACCATAAGCAGTTATGCACTTACTTTGACGGATGGAGGTTCAAGTTTATTTGGCGAACGATCCAACCAAAAATCCGTTCGTAGAGAGCTTTTGCGAAGGCGTCTCTGCTGTCGATGGCCTGATACATGGACTTTCGTTTCACCAAAGTTTCTCCTAGAAAATATTGTGATCCATTTGTAATGAAATATGGTTTAAGTAGATCTAGCATACATGCATGTTACATTTACATTCTTCACTTGTTTTTCATTTATAGCCCCGTTTTTGAGCTGACGTGGTAGTTCTACGTACCTATCTGTCACAACTGCGAGGATATGAATGATCGTTATACTCATAATGTAACAAGCTATAGTAAGTACATTGTAGTATGAATAACATTAAATCAGAACAAATTAAAAAACAAATGCAATATGTTTGTAAATAACTTCTGATTATTTTTTGGTTTGTCTAACTATGACTGAATTTATAAATACACTTTTACTTACCAACATACGTCTGCTTTGTGGCAATCAATGCGTGACCCAAGTCCTCATACGACACATTCAATAAGTCGGCAACTGTCAACAGCAGTAATGGGTTTTTTCATTGTATTCAACGTCAGTCTAAACAATGCTTAAGTAATAATAATAACTTTCACCGTCAAATTGATTGATACTCGGGTATAGAATGAACGTTTAATGAGGAGCATATATTTAACAAGCCTTTATGTTAAAACCACTAATTCATCAATGTGTCTTAATGCATCAAAATAACATTAAGCATATGCATGTCTATGTATAATGCCTCATTTGTGGAAGGTATAGTATACCCTTTTTGTAACTCATGCATTAATGGATGAAGCCTTAACGCATCACGATTTCGAATTTTACTAAATGTATGTTATTCAAATATCGAAATAGGATCACATTTGTGAAACCGTGTAGGATCATAAGAGGCGACTGATGAGACCCCTTTATAATCTGGAGAGAGGGGGTGGGGGTATCCTTGTCTTCTGTTAAGGGGGACATGAACAAGGCAAGGATAAACATGATGTATCCCACTGCATGTGTATCGTAAAAGACGACTAATGTGCCCCCCCCCCCCCCCCCCCCCCCCCCCCNTATGGAGAGATTACGGAAGAAAAATGTACAGGCTTAATGTTATTTTGATACATTTAGACATGTTGATGCATTTGGGGGTCTGAGTTCAAAAGAAAAATATATTATTTTTCCAGATTATAAACAAGTGCACGACATCGCCACATCTCATTCAATCACAATTACGAATTCGTTTTAATAAGGCGCGCTGATGGCTAAAAGTAACGAGGTATCACTTATTATATATGTTTTGTGGATAAATGGTTCAAACTCACCGTTTTCAACGAATGTAGTGTCTTTGATCTTCATTGGCTCGTTAGGGTCATCAGGTTCCAGGAATTCCACCTGTGTGATGAGAAGTATAGCCGCCAGAATCGTGTGGATAATGTCGATGTCCTGTTTTCAATAAAAAATGATACCAACGACTTGAAAGTGACGAAAGTTCATAAAGCCGTAAGAAATTAAAAACACATGGCAGTACATGATAATATGCATATAAGTTAATATGTGACAACACTTGTTTTGTGATGTTGTCAATAATTTGTTTGACTCATCCTTATCATTTTCTTATCAGACAGAGAATACCACGGTTCCAGGGATCAAAATGAGCTTATGCCACACCGTGGCATCTGCGTCTGTTCGTCAGTCCATTTGTTTCTTCTAACGCCTTCTTCCTCTGAACAGCTTATTGAAATTTAGATATATTTGTCTAGACGAAACCGTAGGTGGTGGTCATTCAAGTGTTTGGAGCTGGAAATCCCAACCGACCCGACCCAACCCAGTCAAACCCTTTCTGAGAGGCGCAGCCAAAGGAATAATTTGGCAATGGTGATGCAAGTGTTTCATGTATATTATCGATATTCGGTTAGAAGCATTTACCAGTGTGAGAGATTAGAAACTGTACAAATTGCAGGGCTAAACCTCAAAGGGGGAAAGAGAGGGGAAGGTAAATGGTGTCCAAAAATGGCAATTTGCCCATTGTTTGTAATAGGTTTCTTTTCTAGAACTAAGAAATGATTATCAATCATATTTGTTTCGGAACGACTAAGATACCAAGGATTCAAATTATTTCAATGATCCCTCATTGGCTGAGGGGCGGGGCAAAATGCTCATTTTGGCATACTATTTTGACCGAACACTCTCTGGAAAAGCGGTGGTTGGGATTAAAAACCAAATGAAGGGCTAGCTCTCGGAAGTCCTGAGTGGGGTACAATAGAGAGTATATAACTTGAAATGGTTTAGGGCCCAATCATTTAATCGTAATTATATACAACTGATGTGCATATGGAAACAAATACGCACATATGCTACAAGGATAGCTCTGGGTCTGCCCCTTCCACATTAAACATAGTCCCTTGGTCATAACTTTAAAACTTAATCCAACCTGATAACAATTTAGTCAATTTCCGGGCATAAGAAACAAACAAAAAAACCTGACCAATGGACCTGGCCACATCCCCAGGGATTATGCTCGTAGGTTGCAACTTTGAAACAGTTGAGATGCCCAACCTGAAGCCCTCATATACAGATATGCTTCCAGAATTAGCCTTTCATTTTGCCACGCCGAATCTGAACTTAGTCCCTGATAACATGGACACGGTTCGTATCCCCAACCTTTAAACGTGTACACAACTGCTGAATATAAAGCGAAAAATACGCATAACAACCAGAATTGGCCCCCGAGACTTGCCCCATGACTGATGACCTAGTCCCTGGGTTACAACGTGGAAACAGTTGAGTTCTCCATCATATGCAATTGTAGACATGTCAAATCTTACACAGATATGGAACCAGGATTGGCTTTGTGGTTTAGCCTATCCTTGGTAACTTATTATCTTGGTCATAACATGGAAATGTTTGAGATCCACACCCCTTTAAGCACACATACACAAACACACACGCACACACATACATGTGTGTATATATATAACCTTATACATGTGTGCCTTGGGGTTTGTCTCACAAAATCTAAATTTGATAAGCAGGCTATTTTACATAACAGACGACAACCTAAGAATTTGAAACGCAAAATGACATGCTCTAAATTTAATAATTCTTGTGTAAAACAAGTTTCAGACACCAAGGTGCGGTACATGTCCTATGATTATCGAACACAATACTTTTAGCTTTAAAATTGGATGGAAATTTTCTGTAAATGCTTATATGAATTTTAAATCAAAAACGTATTTATGGAATGATTTGTTCAAAATGGTTGATTTTTACATCGGTCAAACTAAAAATATTGTATTACCTTTATAGAAATTACATTCATTCGACACTGTTTTAGAGAACGAAATAATTACCATTTAATCAAAATATTCAAATATTCAACTAAAAATATAACTAGTTATATTTTTGTTGTTTCATATGAGAAGAAATACCTCTTGTTCCAAATTGATAGACTTGAGTACTTCTATCTGTTCCTGATACATAGCTCTGTAGAATTCCGTTCTAGCCAGTAACTCTTCATTGCCTTTTACAATTCTGTAAGGAAATAATCAATAATTTCAATAAATGTACACAACAGTGAACTTTTAGTTGTATTTGTAACTTTCAGTTCGCTTGAATATCTGAAAACTATGTCACGCGCATATAGAATCAAGGTTTTCATGCTAGCCTTTTTCTATTTTGAAGAGAAAAGGGACGCAGGGTAGGAAAAATGCATTTATCCTCAGTGAATTTCAATGAAATATTGAAACTCGGTTAGACAATTTTCTTAGTCAAAGTACAGTACAACAAATGTTTAAAGTATCTCAACCATGTAGTGTACCATGCCCAATGGCGTCATAGTAAAATGACTTGTTGAAAACTTTGGCACTACATCTCGTCATGCCACTTCGTACTCTTGAGGATACATATCGCTTTCAGTAATTTCAATTCAATTCCTTTGTCTTTAAAGTATATCACGACTGATAGAGGTTCAGAGGTGTCATGCAGCTAGACTTATATGGCAGGGCGAAAGACAACAACGACAACAACGGGTTGCTAGTCATTTAGGTGTTGAAGTTTTCATCGTAGAGCGACTTTTCAGACGTTTGAGGCGTGTTGCCGCTCGACCACAATCTGGAGTTCTACGCGTGAAATACGTCCAGACAAGACCATGCGCGTAATTGCCAACTAACTGCAGAGGATTATTTTTTTAATATAGACTCATGGATCGTCCCATTAATCCCCAAACTATGAGAAATCGACTGCGCGAGGCAGGTCTGCCAACACGACGTCCTTGCGTCGGCCCACCTATCACTTGTGTTCGTCACATGATTCGAATGGCTTGGTTGGCGGCATATGCTAGAGGGAACAGTCCAAATAAGACGGTGGAGACGACTTTTTCCACAGACGAGTCACCGGTTATATGTTTTTTAACTTAACGATCGACATCGCATATAGGTAGCAGTGTACAGTAGTGTACTATGGCCATGGGTGATATTTTTTATGCAATGAAAACCCCCTGTAGTATTACATGTATCAAAAAAATCAAAAAAATCAGCACTAACATTGGAATATACATGATGAAGTGGACTATGTGGGCTTCATAATTTTTGAAAAATAAAAATCAAATTTGGTTTGAGTCTACAGTTTTTGGGCATTTACAAATCTGTGTTTATACAACAAGAGCTAGCTTTTCGTGTAGCCTATTTTTGTACTCAGCCCATGTGCAAATATTGTGAAAAATCCACCGGAATGACCTATGCTAAAACGTGAGTATTTCTGTTACCGTGTAGGCGATATTTAATTTAAGACAGGTTTCAAGAAAAATGGTACTTCCGGGGGTCAAATTTTAGGTTAAAAATCATGTTTTTTTTGCATATTTTGGTGTTTTTAGATGTGGTAACCTTGGTTTTCACAAGTCCCAAAACTGGGGAAAACAGTTTTTTATTTATTTTTTATTCTTCTACACAAAATGTTATCAAAACATAGTTTATAAATATGTATATATATGTAGGTGTGTTGTGCAGGTTGAATTCACTATCCATGTTTATCTGAGACGTGCCCTTTATTTTTAGGATCAAGCCATTTCTACTGTACACTGCTACTATAACGTCGTCGATTGGAACGGTTCGCCGACGCATGTGTTATCGAAAGGGGTATATTTGAGGTCTCGGGAAAACTATTTTTGGTTGCATTGTAGACCAACTTAACGGCAGTAAGATATTCAATACTAATGTGTCAGAAAATTGATATTTCCAATCTTGCGGGTTCATATTTATGAACCACATTTCCTACACAAATTAGGTTCAATATCTAAAGGAAACAAGATTATTTATTTATGAATGACGATTCTTTAAGACCGTATAAAGTTCATGTACACTTATGACCTTCTCCAAAACGGGCGTGACCTTCGACGGTCAAATTACATGGTAAGAGGAGAAAAGGGTATAGATTTTTTTTGTAATTAGGAAAAACAAAACTAGTCAAATAAAACTGCAATTGATTTGATAAATGGAAATGGAAAACATATGACATGTAAAGCAGAAATATTGGAAGAAAGACAGTTCTTTTAGAAAAATTGCAAGTAAGTATTGTGAATGTTAATCTATAAACTATGCATATACTCATGGCTAATTATCAGAATTTCAAAATAGGGAACCATAACATGTATTCGATGAGAACCCACACCCAGAAGATTTATAAAATTAAATTTGAGACCTTTATTTTTGCTTCTTCTTTGATAGCAAACCAATAGAAAACAAAACTATCCCTATTATAAATGATACACAAAAGGCTGTATAAGAGTAACATTGTTTTGTGAAATTAGTAAATGATTTCATGCGGGAATAAGAAGGAAACAATATGTCTGGTTTATTCATTCTTGTCATTGTTCTTCGTCTCAAAAGAATGGAGTTGTATTTATAGGTTTTAAATTGTTTCAACTTTGGCGAATCTTTAAATAAATGTATACATATTTTATAGCATAATACAAAAAGAAGATTGATTAACAATGGATATTTTCCTTCATATTTTGGTGTACAACATGAATGTAGGCAAGGGGAACCCATATCCTCATATCTTTTCCTGATAATTGTTTAAAGTTGCGCTTTACGATTGAAAAAATATCAAGATATAAACGGTGTTCAATTAAACGATAGAGAATATTTGGTTGGTCAATAGGCAGATGACGTCTTTTTATTCCTAGCTGGTTCTTTAAAGTACTTTAACTGACTTCGATAAACAAGTTCAGTGTCAAGTCTAAATAGGACTAAACATTGATGAGTGTCTATTGATATGGATCGAAAACGAAATATACTCCAAAGAAATGTTATGCCCTGAACATCAATTTGACTTGTCTGCAAAAAACTTTAAACTTCTTGGTATACATTATTCTTTGGAAATATCGGCAATCATTGGATTGAATTCTAAAGAAAAACTACCAAAAATAAGAAAATTGCTTAGAATGTGGTCTTAAAAAATCTGGTGTTTTTATTAGGAAAAACACGTTGTTAAAACACCTTCACTACCGCTTCTCACACACGGTACTTACTTCCAAATTCAGGTTAAAAATGGCTAAATGAAATTAACACATTTTCTTGAGATTCATACGGGGAAATAATATCAAACGGGAAACAATGAGTCTAGAATATGGAGAAGGAGGTTTAAAAATGATACACAATGAGAGTTATATGAAATATCTAAAAATTAAGCGGGTGAAATTGATGTCTGGTGAAAAAGGGGACTTGCAAAGTTGAGTAAAATCTAATTCTAGTACATTTGGAGGGACAGGTTTTGGAATCTGAAAAAAGTTAAAACTGGAAGAAATATAAAAGAATATAACAAATCTTTCTGGAAAGATGTTATTATAGCAAGCAAATATATAGAGAAGATAATAATGAAATAACCAGTTTTCTTGAAGATGCTGTTTTGAATTAAATACCAGTCCAAACTTCCAAGCAATTTATTGAATATTAAAGGAATTGAGTAAAGACAGTAAAGGACTTGTTAGACAATAATAATTTTTGTATTCAATGATGTTAATATTTAATGTGAGAAATTGAAGTTTTACAATATTTTGCATTAATTAATAGACAACTTTCTAAGAGGAAAGTTAAACATAATACAGCAACAACCATTGATGAACAATCAATCACAAGACAGTCTTTTATTTAGGAAAATCATTTCAAACTAATAGGGTAAAAATATAGAATCAAATTATTTTGATATGATATGCAATAGCATAACATCACTATTATAAAAGTATAACCTAGCGTCGAATCACCGGGATAAAATATATCATAGAGTGAAAACATTGGCATAAATTATACGATGGCGACAAAACTATCAAATCAATTATACCATAGATTCAAGCCAGTAGGGTCAAATATGCTATGTAGACTAAACACAAGTATTTAATTTACTTAACGACAATACACTAGATAAGGTATACCAAAGAGTCAACTAACTAGTATAAAGATAGAATACACCTTGCACCAACACATAAGAATAAACTATATTTGCACCACGATTAACTTCTACGAGAGACAACACAGCAAGAGAAAACATACTATCGTGTCAAAACACAAGAATACATTTGATTTGTACCATAGAGTCAAAACTCAATAATTAGATATACCATAATCATATCTTTGCTAAAAGTATACCATAGAGTCAAAACACCAACATAATATATACCATATAGTATACACATCTATCTGGTGACTTAGATCCGCGCCCACACAAATTAATATCATATATTGGAAGTAAAACACTCCACAATGAATTCGTCTTGCCCTGGCTAACTCTTTGTTTACAAAGACATTTCAAACCGTGATCTAAGCCCGAAAGCGTGGATCGAGAATCACTGCTGATATTTGTTTATTCCAGTGTTCAGTGTTTTTAAAATTCATCCCTGTAGGTGACTAGTTGCATAACTATGTGGTAATCTAGTTAAGGATGCATTCAGCAGTATTTACCTGTATGTTCTTGCATCCTTCAGATGCAGGTTTTTGAGAACGGTGACAGGAGCTCCCGCGAAAAGACAGTAGAAGATGTGGAAGTTGCCCTCCTTGTCCATCTGGTCAACCACACGAGATTTTTCCAACAAGTAGTCTCTAACTATTGCTGCAGAGATAAATTCTCAAGATCTTATAGTCTGAATTAATTCTTATTTTAAAGACGAACGTTTTTAAAGTCTAGACAAATTTATGGGTAATTGCAACTAAGGTTTAATTTATATTCCAAAAACAATTCCTGTTTCAAACTTTTAATTTTTAATTTAGGCAAAGTTGAGAACTTGTTTATTTATTATCCACATCAATCCGCCTGAAAAAGCCCTAGAAGGCAGAAAGGTCTAGTGGAAGATCTGACATATTTATGTTTTTATTCTATATTTTCCTTCGCAAAGACTTGTTTATTTATTATCAATTATATATATTTCTTTTTACTATATCTAAATTTTAACTCAACAAACATCTTTGATATTTTAAAAATAATGTCCATTTATAAACATCGACTTCGGTCTAAATGGGAATATGAAAACATGGAGTAGCAATAAAACGTTCTGATAAAGAGGAGGATAGCACCCTCTACCAGATAAAAACCTGCTAAAATTACAAACTGCCATAATGAAACATGATATTATTTGTTTAACGATCATCGCTCTATACAATGTTAATGTTAGCTTGTACTGAACATTTTAACGGTTGTAGTTCATGACTCTTGTTTGATTTGATTATTTTGTACGTAAAGACAAGGTTGTTTTACCTCCCGTTACTTGGCCGTTGGTCGCAAAAGACATCTCCAAATATTTGGCAAATCTGCTGGAATTGTCGTTCATAGTGGTTTTGGCATTGCCGAAAGCCTCCAGAAGTGGGTTGATCTGTATACAGACATAATGATATGTACTAAATAAATGTTAATCTTTTAAATCGTGATTAAAATTAAACTTCAGATATCATCACAGACTTACAAAAATACTTAATGATAACACACCATCAACACCATAATATTATAAGCTGCACTGAATAGAATCACGGCCCACTACACAGACGTTAAGCTGGTACAGAAAAAGTAAATTTACAAATGTAACTCAATTCTTATTTAATTCAGCGAGTTAGGATTTCAAAGAAAAACTAAACAATTTGCGCGTTGAACTTCAATTTCTAAAGTACATTCTTCGAATCTGATGGCCCTCAGAGTGTTCGGAATAACACGTTTACCTTGACAATACGTTCGTGGAGGTCACCAGTCTCTTTCGGACACAAGGACACAAGGTGTTTGACCATGTATTTAGTGCTCTCTGTCTTGCCCGCCCCGGATTCCCCTCCAACAAGGATGACCTGATTAGTACGTGTCTCATGTATCCGACGGTAGGCACGTGCAGCCATGTAAAACACGTGTGGTGGAGGCATACGTTGCAGTGTCTTCCAGTGATATTCTTCATGTTGCTTTAAAGTCGAATTGGTATTGATATTTCAATAAAGGGAAACACGGTAAAAAATGTTTCGAAGAAAACATCAATAGTGTATATCAAATGCAATTGCTAAAACCCTGTATTTATACTTTTTTGTAAAACAACAAAACAGATACAATTTTAACAAAACTTCTAAAATCAAGTTATTGTTGGGTAAAGAATAAACAAGCAAAAGCTAATACTCCTACCAATATACGATAGCCACACTACCATTACACATATATTCAAAACAGTAATACAGTCCTAAATATATACCCACTTCACTAATCTTAACAACACAAGACACTTTAGTTATACAGTTTTAAATAGAAAGCTTCCTCACTGATCGTAACAACACATACATTCCAGTAATACAGTCATTAATACATACCGTCTTCAAAGATCGTAATAATATAAAACACTTCAGTTATAAAGTCCTAAATACTCACCTTCTTCGCTGATCGTACCAACACTTACACTCCAGTAATACAGTCCTCAGCACTTACCTGCTTCACTGATCGTACAAACACTAACACTCCAGTAATACAGTCCTAAGTACCAACCTTCTTCAATGATCATAACAACACTAACACACCAGTAATACAGTCCTAAATACTCACCTTCTTCACTGATCGTACCAACACTTACACTCCAGTAATACAGTCCTAAACACTAACCTTCTTCACTGATCGTAAAAACACTAACGCTCCAGTAATAGAGTCCTTAATACCAACCTTCTCTACTGATCGTAACAACACTAGGACAAAAGTAATGCAGTCCTAAATACTTACCTTCTCTACTGATCGTTACAACACTAACACTCCAGTAATACAGTCCTAAACACCAACTTTCATCACTGATCGTAAAAACACTAACACTTCAGTAATACAATCCTCAATACTAATCTTCTTCACTGATCATGACAGCACCTACACTCCAGTAATACAGTCATAAATTCTCACATTCTTCATTTATCGTAATAACACTAACACTCCAGTAATACAGTCCTAAACACTAACCTTCTTCACTGATCGTAAAAACACTAACGCTCCAGTAATAGAGTCCTTAATACCAACCTTCTCTACTGATCTTAACAAAACTAGGACAAAAGTAATGCAGTCCTAAATACTTACCTTCTCTACTGATCGTTACAACACTAACACTCCAGTAATACAGTCCTAACTACTCACCTTCTCTACTGATCGTAACAACACTAACACTCCAGTAATACAGTCCTAAATACTCACCTTCTTCACGTATCGTAATAACACTAACACTCCAGTAATACTGTCCTAAATACGTATCTTCTTCACTGATCGTAACAACACTAGCACTAAAGTAATACAGTCCTAAATACAAAACCTTCTCTACTAATCATAACAACACTAACACTCCAGTAATACAGCCCTAAACACCAACCTTCTTCACAGATCGTAA